AAGCTTGGCTTGTGTGGATTGACAGGTAAAAGGCATGGGTCATACTTAAATGCTTAAAACTTCCAGGAATCCTGGTAATCGCTGTTCTCACAGGAACTGCTATGCACAAGGCAGACTACATTTAGTAGTACAGACTGCTTAAGACAGGAGAATCCATATTCTTACCTTATTTGATGATTAGCTATCTAATAATAAAATCCCTTCATGACTCTGTTAATATTACAACCTGAAGTGCGAAGTCAATTTGGTTTTCTTATCTAGTTTCAAGAAGTCTTAAGCAAGACAGGCTCAATGCCTGTCACGATTAGAATAACAAAACCATACAATATCCATTAAAATGCATTTATTTGTTTTAATTCAAAGATTTAACAACTATTTGCCCAGTAATCTGGGCTCGGGGCACAACAACAAAAAATACCGTCGACCAAAATATAAAACCAAGTACACAAATTACCCCTTATTTGTAAATGTTACCTCATAACCAAGTTTTAGCACATTAAAAAGTTTACAAAATTTATAACACTCTTACAAATTATTCAGAACTAACAGCATATGTGGCAGTTGAGCCTCTCCACATCCATCCTCACCCTTGCCATACCATTCTGTGCCTGGATAATGCCATGTTTAAACTAAAGAGTTCCAGAACTAGAACTGCAAGCTTCCCAAGACTGCTTTGTGCTTCAGGGCAGTGCCCGAGCCCCGCTCCCCAGCACAGCCTGGTTGGTGAGAGTGGTGTGGGTATACTCACTGTTCTGCCTGCTGCGTCCTCTGCAGCACTGAGAGAATGACTCAGTAAATGCAGAAATAAGTTAAAAAAAGTACAAAATTGGCCCTGAAGAAAAATAAAATCATTTAAAAACCAGCTTGGCTTTGACTAAGTTACACTAAAAGCTGCGAGACAGATTTACAGCAATATCACTTTAAGTACAAGATCACAAAAATCAACAGGTTTGTTATGAGTCTTGTCGCTGTAAAAATGAAAACATCAGAGTTGACTTGTCTGCCCACAGAAACATTTTGCCTCCTAACAGGGCTGACATACATCCTCTTCCTGGGTTTTGGCCTTTTCAGAGCTTTGTTAACTAATAGGACTAACATAATTCCTAAGAATCCACCTCTAGTGAACAATGGCAACACTGAGAAAACCAGCGCATTTATATTTTCCATCAGCTATAGACGCATAGAAAACAGATGCCTGGGGTTTATATGCAAGACTTAAAAGTACAGTAATTTAACAGTTACTGATAGCCTTTTCGGAAAGAAAAATACCATTGGGCTTTACAAAATGATATCGAATATACAGAAATATCAAAACCCTGATCGTGGCCAGAAACAGATGGATAAATCTACAATGAGGTACTCTAGAATCTCAAGGTATGCAAATGGAGTGACTTTTCTTGTCTTCCAACTTCAGCAAGGCAGCATCTGCTTAAGCACAAGGAGCCTTTGCTTATAAGCAGCATGTATCAAGCCCCAAGAAACTGAACCAAAACCAAGATGTGTTTATAGACTGTGGCTTTTCATTGATTTATACAAGCATGCTCAAGAGCTGTTAATTTTAACCCTTTGAAAGGAACAAGATGCAAATTCTTCTTTGGTGCTTAAATAGGAGAATGTTAAATAAACAGATGGAGCTCAAACACTGCGAACAGTGTCTGAATCCTTGAAGAACAGCACCGCATGTATCCTGGACAGCTAAAGCCTTGGCACAACAACCTCAGCATTCACAGGTGAATGGCCAGATGTTACGGTGGGTGCAGAAATTTGACTTTTCTGGGCTACTTACTGTAAGGCTGCATAAATCAACCCATCAGTGAACAAATTTATTGTAGTTGATAATGCTTCATTTATGTGTACTTTTGGAGGCAAATTGAAACAGTCGTTCACTGGCAGAAAGAGTCTTTTCATCACTCCTTAGTTCTTAAATATGAAGTGCCTACAATACCAAAAATTAAGAGAGTAGAGGGCTGTGTTTAGACACCTCAATACATACCAACTTTTCTGTGAAGTCAAGGCATTGGCACCACACAAGAATTGGTTCTGGTGCGGTGCCCGAGTTGCTAGTGGTGAGGTTTTATAGTAAGCTTAAGCTTCTGCTGAAAGGAAAAGTCTGTCTGGCTCTGTGGTCCACCTTCTGCTCTGCCCCATAGCTATTGCTCATGTTTTCATAATTGTTAGCACTCTGACAAAAGATTTTGGAATATTTGACCAGGGAGGACCCTTCCAATTGTACACTGCACTGCTCCTATGGAAAAAGCTCATCATCAGGTGTTGGGCAACAGCTTTAAATTATCTTGACATACATAGTGTACAGAATACCCCAGGAGAGAATGCCAATTAGCTTTCAACAACAGCAGTAGAGTTTTGCTCTTTAATTTCCAGCATACATAAGCATAAAAGCAACCGAAGAGATCATCCATATAAAATAAACCATTCTGGGAAAAGAAAATCAGCCTCTGCCAGGGAAGAGGATAAATAACCCCTCTGGAGATAAAGTATTCTACTTCCCATTCAAACCAATATCCTGCATGTTGAAAAATTCTGTCTGATGCATATTGCAAACAGACACCAGAGACAGCTGAGGAATATAGGATGTGAAGCTCCAGGACATTGGCGTGCTTCAGAAGTTCATTCTCTTTCTGCTCCCATTCTGACCCATTCTTCACTCTCTGTGAAGCTTGTCTTTCAGCTATGCTGATACAATCTTTTCTGGCACCATATCATAAATTAAAATGAAATACTAAGTTTGAAAAGCATTCAAAAAGGGGCAAGGAAAGGGAGGGAATAACTTCACTTTTGGGCCTCTTACTACAGGAAAGACATTGAGGTGCTAGAGTGAAGAAGAACAATAAAGCTGGAGAAGGATCTGGAGCACAAGTCTTCTGAGGAGCTGCTGAGGGAGCTGGGGTTGTTTAGCCTGGAGCAAAGGAAGCTCACTCTCTACAACTACTTAAAAAGCAGGTGTAATGAGGTAGATGTCTCTTCTCCCAAGTAACAAGCCATAGGTCAAAAGGAAATGGCCTCAAGTTGTGCCAGGGGAGGCTTAGATTGAATAACAGGGAAAATTTCTTCAGCAAAATGGTTGTCAAGCATTGGAACAGGCTGCCCATGGAAACGGCTGGGTCACCATCCTTAGAAGAATTTAACAGATACGTAGATGTGGCATGTAGAGGCATGGCTTAGTGATGGACTTGGCCGTGTAAAGTTTATGGTTGAACTCATTGTTCATAAAGGTCCTTTCCAACCTAAATGATTCTGCTCTAACTCAGCCAGCTTCACTGATGTTGTACAAGCAAAAAAGCAACAGCTGACTGTCAAAGAGGTGAAGGTTCTACTGCCTTCCCTCCTGCCTGACTCCACTTGCACCATTCAACTCTTTTATAGCAGCTCAAATACTTCTAAAATTCTTGCTAAGTGTAGAAATCGGCTTATCTCTCTAGCTTTCTGCTGAATTATTGTGTTCAGTTAAGCATTTAAACAACTTAAATTGGTACAGAAGAATTTTACAAGCTCCAGAACCTACACTGGTATGGTCTGGAGTGGAAATGCAAGTGACCAATTGGCTCTGATGAGCAGTTTTGTCAGCACACTCCATGCTGTGAAATTATGCCTGAAGTTTCGAGTGCGACTCAAAACAACTGGACCAGCATAAGGAAGAAAAGCAAGTGGCACAGCACAGAGACTGAAAGAGACATCTGTGGCACAGAGTGGGAGGAAGGCAGGAACAACCACTTACAGTGGCTCTGCTGTCAAAGTCAAATGGCACAAGTGGTACAACTACACCAAGAATCCTTTCATCCAAAATGCCCCAGTGATTTCCCTCCTGTCAGCTGTATTCCATTACCATTCCTGCTACTGAATTTCAGTCAGTCAGAAGAGCTCATACTTTGCATTCCAAGCAAACAGCCTGCACTGAGCAAGCCACCTGAGCTTATTTAAATGCTTCTGCAGTCTTCATTGACCAGAGGCAGTCAGTGGTGGTAAACAGCAGCTGTTTCATAATTGTTTAGAATGTCCTGAAGCATATGAATATAGAGAGGAAATGTTGAGTTAAAAAAAAAAAAGCTGCTACTTTCCACAGGAATTTTTTCCAGAAGCTACAATATTCTGAAGAAAATATTTAAAACAAGGTAAATTCTTAAAAACAAATGTTAAGCAAACAATAATGCTAAAAACCATTTGCAGAATGTGGCTAAAATCATTCTACTGTGATACCAAAACATTCCTTCTCAACAGGACTGAATCCAACACAAGGCATTTTGCCAAATTCTTAAGTAAATAAATAAGCCATCATACACTTGACAGTAACTGTGGGGAGGGAAGAATCACTGTATGTTTCATTCAGCTATTTCATGAAGTATACTGGGGACATGCACTGTGCATCTCAGCATCTCCCAGCAACACCCTGTATTTCATCAGGAAATACTGAATCTGCTGAAATAAGCAGCAAGAACTTCTATCACTTTAGCAGCTCAGTCAGTGACAGAGCTGACTCCACAGATTCAGGCCTTCAGTACCACCAGATTCCTTCTTTAGGCCCCAATCCACAAACAACACAAGCCCCGCTTTACTGAGGCAGCAGTGGGACTACTACATAATTTAATTCATTGTGTACTTAGACATTTGAAAGCTCAACAACTGACAGGTAACTCTGAATGCTGGTAGTTGTTTTCGGGTGCTTTGCTTTCTGAATTCTGATTAAAAACACAAGGAGCCATACAGTCTGCATAACTAAGCCAAGCTATACGTGTTTCATGGGTAGTCTGGGCATGCGTCACACGGTCTCATGTTGGGAGAGTACAGTATATTTGTGATGTATACATATACACTGCAAGGCATGGAAGAAAGCCAGAAACAAGTTTGTAAATTAGAATGTGGGACAGTAGATCTTTGATTTGTCCTCTTCTTTAATCACATGGAGTAAAAATGTCTGAAGTTGCCATTTGTTCCCTCACCATGAAACATTTAAGGAGAAAGGAAAAAACACAACAAAAAAAAAGCCAACCACTTCTCATTCTTGCTTTTCCTTCTTGAGGTATAAATGACTGTACCTTAACTTCACAATGTATCAAATATCTCTTCAGGTGACCCAGCTGAAGGAGGTATGATGGTTTTATCTTACAAGTCACAGCTTTGACAACACAATGAATCTATAAATTGCGACAAACTTCTGTACAACAAAATTCCTGCAGGCCTGAAATACAACAGTCTGCATAAGAGGCTCACAATTAACCAGCAGGAGAAACACACTTAAGGTTTCCCATCTTTCTGCCCATCAGTTTCTCCTCTAGCCTTGGAAAATTTGAACAAGTACACACAGCTTACTATTTATCATTCTATCTACATCCTGTTCTCCAAAAGACATGTTGACAGGAAGATTCAGTCATACTAGTAAACTGGAACGCTTTCTTCTCAGTAGAGGCCTGCACTGATTTGAAGTTCCTCTTTATGTCTGTATTTTGAAATCAGTATAAAGAATGTATTAGAGGTGTGGAGAGAGAACACTGTTTCATTTTTTCTTCCCTAACCACTCTACTGAGTGAGGATCAGTGCAGAACACAGAGGAGGAATGTTTCAAAAGCTAGTAAGTCAAAAAAAAAAAAAAACAACTCTGAAGTTAACATTGGACTTTGTATCTCCACTCCTCCTGTCCAAGCGAAGTGAAAAACCCAAGATTTTGTTCAAAGTCAGGTCAGAACAGTGGATGAAATATCTCACGTAACTTATACGTAACATGGTCTTTTGAAACTGTTTCAACATGGTGTTTTTCCACTCACTCAAATAAAAGCATCTCCAAAGCATCAAGACCTGATGGGACTCAGCCAGACAGATATTCATCCACAGCAGCTTAGAAATTCAATAGTCAATCAAAAAACTTTTTTTTGAATGAGTTATTGTTCCCCAATATTTTCAACCAGCTTAAAGAAATATAGTGGAACCTCCCTGTTTTGCACTTATGACTGGGAGATCAAGTGTACACCGTTCCACTGTGATCATTTTGCAACTTCCAAGTGCTAAGAGTTAAGCCAAGATAATGCATATCAATATGTGTTCTGTTCATGTCACTAGAGTGTTGCTTAATTTCCTATGCTATAAGTGTACTTATATTTAATGGAAAGTAAGTCAAAACGAGGTAGCACTGCCACTGTCTTTGCTGGAATGTGGACAGATCCTGGCCTCATTTTCAACGGTGGCTTAGTAAGATTCTACTGTAATCTACACAAAAGGTATAAAACATGAACCTTTTCCAGAATAAGGCCACTAATTTTGCCATTGGCAATAGGCAGTGAGAAACAGCAGTTAAAAAAACCTCACTTGGTTATAGAGGTGTTTCTGAGGCAATAAACTGTGGGGAGAAGTATAAACCCATTGTCCTCTCATCCCTCCTCTTTGTTTTCCAGTAAAAGTATATCTGCTTCCTGTATGTACTACTATGTGAGGAGACATTTCAGTCTATTTTCTTAGCTGGGAGTCTAAGCAAGTCCATGCTACACTTAAAGATGGGGACAGCACTGTAAAACAGTAGGATTACAAGCTTCCCATGAGTCATGGTCATGACAGTCTGGTGTCCAGATGCCCAAATTCGATACCAGCGCCCATAAAAAGGATCTGAGACGGCTGGGCACAACATGTTGTTCAAATTCACTTCTGTAACCTGGGAAAGTGACAACAAATTTAGAAATTAACACTATTTTTGTGTTGCACCAATTCAGACACCTAAAATGGTAATTTTGAAATTACCATCATAATCAAAACTGTTTAGGTGACGCTCCTTTGTTCAACACAAACAGGCCAGCTTTCAGAAGGAAAGCAGATCCAAATTCAGTTGTTCATTTAATAGATGGATTTATGCAGGTACATAACCAATTTATGAAATATTGTACTGATACTTGTGATATAGGATACAAATGCTTATTAGAACATGCAATTAAACACTTGCATGCAAGCAGACTTATCCATATATAAACTAGCCATAAGCTTTGAATGTACTTGCAAACTATCCATTTATTAACCTTTATTTACTTACCAAGCCCAGAATCTGCAAGATGCTAAAATGATACACAAACATAAACCCCGTGGATAAAAGAGCCCACCAGAAATTGCAGAGTGGTTCTGGAGTGTAGATACCTTGAAAAGAAAGGAATACATTAGTGTTCAGCTGAATTGCTGTGTCCATTAAACACTCATGAATAATCCTCTCTCTTCTGCTCTGTAGATATTAGGGCATCTGGCTATAGCTGATAACCTACTCAATCCTATCTTTGCAATAATATTTGAGAGCCTCATTTCTTACCTGGAGCATTCTCAACAGTATCTTCCCTCCCTGTGGTCCAGGAATAAAATATACAATATATTACCTCGTTCAGCTCGCCTATTTTTCACCAACACCAGTGATTTTTACCTTATGTTTCCTTCTGCCACTGAAGTACTAAATTACTTTTACGCAATGGTATACAGTGAATCTTGAAAAATCAGGCCATCCATACTTAAACACCTGTATCTCATGGGGGCTATGAGTTCGGCATACAGAACACAGCACTGTATTAGAGCACAGCCTAATTGCCATTTCCTAATTTTATGGTTGGTTGTAACAATTACTAGAAAGTAACTTGCACCAATCATGCCTAGGAACAGAAAAACTCCACAGAGTAGTCAATCCATAATGATAGACTGCACTTTTAACTGAAAACTGCTTTGGAGACATTTTATCATCAGTAGATATCACAGATGCTGTAAAATACTCTATCCCTTCAAACAAAGTAGCAAATAATCACATTATTCCTGGGTTCACCTGTCTCTCTCCTCCTGAAACTAGGTTTTGTCAACTTCCTGACAACAAGCAATGTGACGTGATGTAGAACGTACCAAGGAAATCAGATGCAATAGAAGTACCCTTAGCTACAAGCCTATTTTTGGAATTAGACACTCAAACATCATAAAGTGAACACAAAACCAGTTTACAGAGTCCTCAAGACTCACACTAGTAGGCATAAAAATTTCAGAGGAAGATATGAGGAAAAAACGTTATTTTCCTTACAACTTTAATAACCTAGGGATACAAAAGATGCCCAGTGTCATGCTGCTCAGCTGCTGTAACAAGTTGCAGAGTTTCAGACAATTACAAAAATACACTGGCAATTTTTATCTGTCTTTGCTCTATGATCCATTAGATACTACCAAATGTAGGAACGTGCATCCAGTACTCAAAGGACAGCTTACGGCATAGAGCACAATATTCATACCAGCCTTTGCTAGCTGGCACATGCTGTAATTACCAGGAAGTAATTACAGACTTCAGGATATACTGTACAATGCTACTGAGAGCTGAAATAACTACACGTGTAGATACCTATGACAGAACTCACCAGAGTAAAGCTGGTGTGAGTATTCCTACGTATGGTATCATATGTAGATAAAGGCAGGTAAGTGCTGTTATTTGCTTTGCCACACCACCATAGAATGTTGCATCCTGTCTCAGGTTTAAAATCTCTAGAGATGCTTTTTCAATCCCTGTTGCCCTTTTACAATTCTTTTCCATCATGCCACTGCAGATTGATTTTGCAGTAGCTACCTGAAATAATTTAATTTAAATATTACTTGATTATCCGAAAACTGTACATCTATTCATTGTCCACTCTCAGTAACACAGCTTCCCTATTGCTAGTATGGAGTTGACTGTACATTTGAATGACGACAGCACATATGCACCCCATGTATCACTCATTGACTTTAATGAGCAACAGTATTAGTGTAATTACCTAAGAAACAACTGCACACCAGGCTTTAGTAAGCCAGCTGTGATTTGGTGCAACCGTGACAAATATGAGCAGAGAAGCTACTCTGAAAACATAAGGCAGCTCATAAGATTCCTTATCCAGTGGGAAGGTGAAGGTCAGAAGTGTCTCAAGTATAAGCAAAACCCAAAGGTAAGAGAACTCTACATGACTAATTCAAAGTGGAGTGCTCTACAGCTAAAGGAAAAATTCACAACAGTGTAATTCTTCAAACACACTCAGGAGGCATGAGCTAAGCGCCGATATCCTATTTGGAGACTGTTCTTCAATAGCAATGATATTCATTAAACTCCACTGCCTGAAAACATCAGATACGTGACACCACCTTGAATATGGTTTTTCATTACAGAGAGCAAGAGAGAAGGCAACCAGCCTTAGTGTCAGAGTTCAGGCGATCACAGCTCTGTTTTTGGCTGAACCAACTTTATGTGACCTGGTCAAACTATACAGAAATGCTTTGTGCTCAGCTGTAAAGAAAACAGTTTGACTTGCAAAGCTTTTTTCTATTGTCTTTGCAGTTTTAGGTGCATGTTTAACACAGATGTAAAACAAAAGATAAAATTCAAATAAGATATCTGAAACAGCTGCCAGGAGCTGGCAGAGTAGTGCTACACCAAACCAGGTTTCACGTGAATTTGTCTGGTTACAAAGCAGGTAGTATATAAACACTAAAATAGACCAGTGAACCCAGCTATGAGACAAGACTGGAGGGACAAAGCAGCCCCTTGAAGAGTGAGGAAATTGCACGAGGTGACAAAACAGATCAGTGACATAATTTGGCTTTGAACTGAAGCTTCTCATGTCCAGCTTCAATCTCATCAGGGAATCGTACTTCAGAAGTCTCTTAGGAAAGCTGTTCAGGTTCCTGCAGCACAGAATTTCACTCTGCTACATCCTCTCTCTGTTTCAAAATTCACAAAAATCCATTAGCAGCTCTCGCCCTCTACAGATTTTTGATTTCACTTTGTAGTAGAAAAAGCCCTCCTTGCTAGATTTCACAATGAAAATAACAGTGTGGTTTTCAGCAGTATCATTATTTGGACATCAAGGGACAAAGAGGAAACAATGACCTCTACACGGAAACACTTCAGACTGCTCTGGATTTCCAAGTGTGCTTTGGGAAACTCATTTTAAATTCATACCTGGGATATTTTCTGTACATTTATCAGCAGAAAAATAATAGGTTTTATTACTTTACGGTCCTGCTATTCAGCAGATGCCTGTTTAAGAGAGCAGTGTGGTGGTACACTGTAGTGCACTGTAGTACACAGTGTGTTAACAGAAACATACAAACAGCAAAACTGAGACCCAGCTGAGCGGCTCCTTGAATGGCCTGTGCTGGCTTTGGCAAAAGCTATTTGCTCTTTACATAGGAAACAAGTTTCCATAGGTAGAAGTGAGTTTCACTGCTCTCTTCACTAAGGATCCCATGCAATTCTTCTGTGTTAATAAGCACTCTTCAAAACTTAATCCAACTACCAGTCTGGCACTTATCTAAAAAATCCTCATGCCCCAGACAACTGAGACCATTCCCAAACCAGGGTCATCCAAGTAGGCTGTATATTTGCTCGTGTTGAAATAGCATGGCAGTAGCCATTTCAATTTAAACTTCATTCTTGCAATAGCATTGATAGGAAGGATTTCATATAGTTTGAAAGGTTTGGGGTTCATCATCTGCTCCTGTAACAAGAATCTGTTGACCTTGAACGTGGCAAGTTAACTTGGAAGTGGAAGCATGGCTTTAAAATTCTCAGCATCGACAAAGAGACTCAATTTCATTTACATTGCTTCCCACAATGCCTTGTGCTAGTTCCGGTGTTCTTATGAACTATTATTTTTGTTTGAAGTTCGCAAAATACAGGCTTGTAAAAATCTGAACATACTTTAATAGAAAATAATACTGCTTTTGTATTTTTGTGAAAACATGCTGCAGGAAAAAGTTACTCCCCTGTTTGAGTTAGAGCATTAGAACCTAAATGTAGTATAATTTTTTAATTTAGTAGGGTACTAGAAAAATCTCTCTCCTACTTAATGCCTTGCTTTCATTCCCACTACACGTGATAGAGCTTTTCCAGTTTTCCAGCCCAACACACCCTCAAAGCAACTATCACCATTCCTTCATCTTCAAGTTTATAAAAATGTGAAGGCAAATTTATTTCCATTTTAGTTCCCTTGATCAAAGGGTTAATTTAATTCTAATAGTGAGGCCTATGGAAGTAGCGGAGACAAAACTTCCTTTCCAGGGGAAAACAGGAAAAATGTTCTCAAGAGGATGAGCCTGAAACCCACTGTTTCCACTACAGCTGCTCTGAATCTGTGTAGATTTCAAAACACTACCTTAGGCCAGGAGATTTCCATTTCCCTCAATGCTAGCTACTCTCATCAGAATCAGCTCAGAGGTCTTACATTCCCTGCTCCTCTCAGGAACCATTCTTTATATTCCGTAAGGCAGCAGCAGTTCTCCCTCTTCCTTCATATAGTGGTAATTCTTCCATATACCAGTACATACTCTTCTAAACTTCTCTATCTCTGAGAACTGACCCTGGGTCCACTCGGAGAATTCCACATTAAATTCCTTATTTAGTTTTAACAGGCCCCCACCATTTCAAAGGAAGGGTCATAAGACAGAGTCATATCCCCTCTTCCTCTTCTCCAGCTCTCTTAAATCAAACAAGATTATCCTGAAATGATCAAGCTAGAAGAGAGACTGCAGCATTAGCCTGCAGTAAGAGCAACAGCACACACCTCTGGCTGCTGAACACAACAGCTCCCCTGCTGCTCAACGTGCCACAGTCCAAGCACAGCCGGGCAGTGAACCAGGCATTTACATCTAATAACATGAGATTCAGGAGGTAAAGCTGGAAATAATAACATGGAAGCTGCCAGCAAGAGAGTAGGAAAATAATACATAAGAGTTGACAGGTCTCCAGGAGTTTCAGTGAAAGAGCTTTACATTATCAAGTATTTCACTGAGGATGGGGATAAACTAAAGTCCTAGCTATATTCAAGCACATAGTGATTTTTTTCCTGCATTACTACTAAGGTATATAATAAAGTCCACTTTATAATTCCATTTAAAAGCTAAGAAAAGATATAGCTAAATACAGTCAACTGTCAAAAAGCGAGGAAGTGGCTGAGAAAGAATACAACAGCTTGAAATATCTTTAAATGTGGTAAGCCCCCACCCCTTGCCAGCGAGCTCTGGAAGCCAATGGAAAGCACAAGTTTAGATCCCCAAATGCTTCAATTTGCACTTTCCTAGTTTACAGCCACAGGAAACATGATCCTTTAGTCTGTACTTTGTATCTGTGCTCTACATCTTACAACTCAGCCCAGCTTCTCAATAGGTGAGAAACACTGCAGTGCCCTTAGGAAAGCTGGAAAGCCCCTTCTGTCCATCTGCTGAAGTGTGAGAGAAGCATTCTCCGGGGGGGGGGGGAAGAAATAATCGACTTCTATTGACTTTCTGACAGTGCCATAGAACTTCATCTCTTCTGATGCCATTTTTGAAGATACTTGGATCAAAAAAGGAAAGGGCTTTATGTCTGGAATCAGAGAGACAGTTTCTTCATTGCTTATCAAAATATAGCATCTGCCTTATAAGCTGAAAATTCCAACTGTACCCCCAGCAAAGAACTCACCTACTTGACTATTCAGGGTGCACAGCTACACAACAGTCATTCAGTTTTTAAAATACATGGGGTCAGACCATAGGACTGTTCAGAATTTGCAATGCCACTGCTGTCAGTTTTGGCACCAAAAGATTTTAACCACCCACCACCTCCCCCCCCCCCCCCCCCAAAAAAAAAATGCAACCAAATCAATTTTACTCTCTCCACAGTGTGGACAACCTGCCTTTGAATTGTGACTGCTGAGAATTTGCATAGCCACCTCGACAGTGGGTGCTGGAGACTATCTCCCCCTGCAGGCTAAAGTGCAAGAGCCACACAACCACTCCGACACCAACACGAGGGCCTTTAATTAAACATACCCGATACCCTGGAGCTTCAGGTAGAGGTTCATACATCAGATTGCTCCCTGAAGCAACAAAATTCTAAAACACCTCAACACTAACATCCTTTTCTGCTTTATTAAGTTACTAATTCCATTAAATAATGCTGAGAATCAAAAAACACGAGATTCTCTCTTGATCTCGCAGTGCTAGGGAGCTGCTATAAATTAACTCTTATTTCAAACTGTTGTGGCATGATATCATTTGCTTACAGCACTCAGGAAATAAAAATTGCACTTTGATCAAAATTCAATACGATTTGAAGCTCTGAAATGAGGTGCATATCTAATCCTGTCAAATCCATCTGAAAATCCGACCGAACTAGCTTAAGGACCAAGACAGTCAAGAGCTGCTAGTCTTTAAGGCTGACGCAGCGCAGGCTAGATTTTAATGATTTTTTCATTATGTTAAGAATATACAGTTAGAAAAACTAAGTTATCCTGAACACCAATGAAGGTTTCTAATGCCTTGATCTTAAAAGGTCAGATTAGTGCACTGTTGCAATATTTGTGGCAGTTACAAGAGACATTACACATGCTCAGCTGTCATCTCCTTAAGCCTTTATCCCAGGACCATAAAGTATAACTATCGGAGCATACTCATATGCCTCAGAAGACCAGTTTAGCTGTAGTTGAATGTGGTTTGAGTAGTTTTTCAATGAAGGGGTGGGTTCCATGATCTAAATTTTCCCTGCTGCGGTTCCTGTCTTCTTCCTTGCACCTTGACAACTCACTCATTGCACCTCCCTCCTGCCAATCCTAGCAGTCATCTGATGCAACAGTAAACCAATCCAGAAGCAACAAAGGCATTCATACTGTTTTGACAGGGAAGCTAGGGCCTCACCTCCAAAGGACAAAAGAAAACAGAAATAGCCTATTCAGCTATTTCAGGAATGCTGTGTCCTGCCCAGGCACATACTGTAATTTCTGGTAGGGTTCACAGGTGATACAAGGTGAGATTCCTTCAGCAAAGAAGTTGCCAAATGCAGATGTAAGAACTGCCTTGAGTTATGAATCTTCTATGCTGGCCTATTATGTCTACATTACATCTATTTTGCATAACAGCTTCACTGCAGCCAAGAAAGATCTGAGCCATAGCGCATAAGCATTTATTTGTCTAGCCTGGCATGCATATGCATTCGTACACTTGGAAAGAAAATACGTTAGAAAGGAAAATACAGGAATCTGTATTCACTCAGTACAGAGGTGAAGGCGAGGAAAGAGGAAGACAGAAAAAGGTCTTAATCCCTAAGAGGGAATACATCCTTGAGCTTCAGTGAGTTCACTGCAACACTGCAGCCTGAGTTCTGAACATCTCTCATCAATTTGATCCTGAGCATGGTAAAGCCCCTGCACCTACATGGGGGGGGGACGGGGACGACACACAACATGAAGATGATGCTGCCAGTATAGCATGAGCAGTCTTCACCACTGTAATGAACAGCAGGAAGAGAAAGCAAATGAGTGATTACAGCCCTTGCTTACTCTCACCCAGTTTCCTTTCAAAAGGAACCCCCTCAACAGGTAACTGGATGTGCATGCATGACTGGTATGATGCTTGAGTAGCATGTCAACAAACTTGGACATGCAGTTCTGTGTAGAGTAAGCCACGAACCAGCTCTGCTTCAGGTGTTCTGCTCAACCTGCCTTTCAGAAAAGTTTGAGCTTCTACTAAGGCCGTCAGTAAAATTGACAGATTCCCAATAAAACTGGTTTGGTATATACTTCCATATGCAATCCATTCATTCTAATGTTTTCAATTTTACTACCCTTCAATTACTTCTCCCAGTCATAATCCATAGACTCACTGATAGAAATTTCTATCTTAAATCCAGAAATAAAGCTGCATGCCAATCAATGTCAGTGATGAAAAAGCAATTTTCACAACATATAATTAGAATATAGGGTACGAGCTACTCAGAAAGTACTTTAAACAAAGGTGCTAGTGAAATGACAACATAGTAACAAATGTTTTTAAGCTGAGTAATTTTTTTCATACACTACGTCTTCCTGTTTCACTAGCCATAACTCCTACAAAAGTCCATGGGTGCTTTGCTAAGGAAGTATTACAGTCAGTCAGGTGATGAGAGCCAACTGCATAAGCAATGGAACTGTTATTAGTCACACACCTTAAGACAGTCTCAACCGATGCTAAAGTTCTTCTAGAAATGTCACTGCTATCAGGTCAACATTAGATGGCAGCAAATACCTGTAAATTAATAAAGGGCAAAAAATGTAGGAAACTGAGCTAGGGGACAACTGTGCAACACAAAGCCCTCCAAATGCAGATACAGCCCTATCAGCCCCAGGAAACAGGCACCCAAGAACCCAGAGAACCTTCACCTCAAAACTAACAAGAAACTAAACCAACTCAACAAAGGTCAGAGGAATACTTCAAGCAACATCCAAGGCCAAACCTTAAAGCAATAAAAAAAACCTCAAAACCAAACATGCCTTAAAATGATGTTACATAGGAAGTTCGAGGCCATCAAAAGAAGTGATTTAGCAACATCACGAGCATGGTTTGCCATTACCTACAGTGTATTACATGGCTCTTTACACCTCCCACCTCTCTCTACCAAGTTTGCGCAATTTCAACAGCTATACTGCACTTCTGCGTTATTCGCCAGAATTTTAAGATCTCAAAGACACATTAAAATTAAATTTGCATGGCATATTACTCTGGTAAGAGGAAGAAGCAGAATCTTTTGAAGTATTACACTTCACGTTTTCCTCTGGATCATTTTAATTTGGTTTCCCTCAGCAGTGAAAAACAAAAAGGTTACAAACCTATAGTGCAGTAAGTACGAAGCACTGTAAGTAACTGCTGCTATAAAATACAGCAGATTCACCAGAATGGAAGAGGCTCACTCTGCTTGTCCTGAGCATTTGCTAACCTGTCTCCTATTCTTTGAAGTCACAGCCTCGGGGTTTTCATTAAAGGCCACTGAACATATGGACCACAAATTACCATCTTTTATTTCCAGAGCAAAACAACTTAGCTCTGCTGGAAAATGCAGCTGGAGGCATGTTAACGCTAGAGGGGGGCAGAGCACCACACTAGATCAAGGCATCCTGCATTCCCTTCTGAAGAGCCACGATTAGAAAAATCACTGGCCAGCAGAACAATTTGGGATTCCCAGACTTTGTGAACTATTATGGTATAAGTGAATGCAAGACAGTAATCTTATCAGAAGAGATAAGAAGCAAGCTAGTTCATTTCATTAATATGTGTCATTACATTTACATTTCATTAGAGCTTCAGAATGCCAAGAGTTTCTCTCACTAGCCAACTAATATTTACATTGGGATATAATAACACCTTTTTTCAGCTCATTTGAAGTTGCAGTACTTCAAGATGCATTTAAGAAGGAAAAAGTCTTAAAAATAGACTCCAACAACAACTTAAGAATGTTGCAAGACAGCAGAGATGCTACTAAGGAAGAGAGTGCATGTTATGCCAACACATTCTTAATATCCCTTTGGGCAAAAGACCTTTTTTAATTCTCCTTTCACAGCCTGACAAAAAATTCTTTGCTACCTCAGTTGCAACTCCAGCTTAAAATGGGAAACTATTACTTAACAACACAGAGAAAACTGGTAAAATATGAGTAAGAGTAAAGCCTGTGGTAACCATTCAGCACAGCTTTTTCACTGTACCGGACCAATTCAATATGTATAGAGTAAATTGCCAACCTACCTCCTTTCCGCAGCAGATAGATGGGCACAACATAAAGCATCACATGCTGGATGTAATAAATTTCCATTTCAAATGGAAGCTGTGGAATAAGGAAAATATTTGTAAATGTTTTTCATCACTGACACCTGAGTTTCAAGGAACCATTCTCCTCATGACCCATGAAAAACCCTTCAGTTATTTCATCACCTATGCATATTAACAAAGAGATGACATTCATCGCCAGTGCTTTGAAAGTGCAGGTAAGTGTACCCATTCCATTCCCCTTGCCACAAATGCAGCACTTCAAGCAGACAATTCTCAAAATTGGCTAAAAGCACAGCAAAAAAGGAATAAAATAAAATTGCTCTTTTCCCTTTCTTAACTATAAATTACCATTAACAATGCAAAACCCTCAATAATCAAACCAGGAACTGTATACACTCCATATGGTAGTAGTCTATTTAGAAAGAAAAGATAATTGCTGCCTTCTGAGTGGTAAAACTCTATTTATAGCATTCTATAAATGAGTTCTTTTATATATAAAAGTATATAAATAAATACATATGTAAATAATTGCTGAGGAGACCTGTGCAAAAATCAAAAGACCTGATTTATAGCAATCTGCATGTATGTGTGAAACTTACAAGCTCCACAAAATATAAAATAATCAGTACTTCACTGGTTTTAAAGAGATGATGCAGAAAGATACATATAAACAAGTTACCAGTTCGTATTAAATCGGGTATTTCTCAAATGCTGACAACTTTTGGGAAGTCACAGTTAGTGACCATGTGCTTAGCTGAATTCATGTTATCTCTCAGAGAAGCCAGATAGACTGTGCTAAAAATAACCTGACCCACAACTCCGTGTTCAATTTGAACCCTTTAATCCAGACCCAACTAATTCTAGCTTTTTATCAGTTAGAAAAGGTGATGTGCCATATTTGAAAGTTATTCCTGTCTGTAAGTGCCTTTGCCTGTATCTATTTGTTAAACTAAAGCAACACATTTGAAATTGAAGAGTAGTAGAAAAGATTCCAACTCAAAATCCAGAATTCAGCTTCTCGCTGCAGCTCACTTACAGATCTGAAAAGACTTTGCCATTATTTTTCAGAAGTGAAAACTGGACAATACCACAACACACGTATGGAATCTCGCAGGAATAACACAAAGCCCTGAGTTTTGGTTCAAACACAGCCTTATTCTATCATTCCACAGAGATTCCAGACACAAATCCTACCAATAACAGTAGTCAATAAACTGCTGGTAATTAATACAGTGATCTTTGAAATTCAACAATAATTCTTATATCTTATTTTGAATGCCAAGGATGCTAAACCCAACAGCTGGATTCTGCTAGTCCTGGCGTCCCCAGCTGCACAGTATCAGTGTCCTGATTACAACCTCCAAGATGTTCAGCCAGCTCTTGGGAGACTAAGCAAAAAACAAAAGAAAAAGACCAACACAAAAGCCCTCACAACTTTCATACAAACTGTTGGGTTATTTTATTCCAAGAACTCTGTATCAAAACATAAAACCAAGCAAGATAATAGCATGCAAAAGCAAGAACTCAACAGAAGCTGTGAGGTTTCCTGAATATGAATCTTTTCTTCTGTCCCTTGTTGAAAGACACAGAGAGCAAAGTGAGGGAATCCAAATTACCTGGGAAGAGGCTAAAGCAGGCAGTTTTCCTAACTGGAGAAAGAGCTGTACTTCTTCCACTTGGAAGTGACACACTTCAGAAACAATAGCTCCCAATATAAACAGCACAACGTGAGGCACCCACTCCTGCCAAGGAGCATTCTCTATTTATCTGTGGTTTCATAAGGGCTTCTACACTTGCTGAGTTGTGAGCATCAGTTACACAAATACTATGCTCAGGACACTTCTGAGAACAGAGTAGCAGTTGTTTTGCTGCAGTAGTGTTGACAATATTTTTTTTTTCCTATAAAACAAAACATCTTTTTTCACTATAAAAGATTGCTTGTTCTGAAGCCTGACCAACCAGCAAGTTCATCTGCTGGTATAGAGCTACAAAGGCAGAATTTCTGTACAACCAAGCATCTAAGTTGTACAGCCAGGCTACAACAAACACAAAAAGAACAAACACAAATAATGATCTATAAAGTTGTCCTGTGCAACCGACTCACTCCGCTCTAAAGGTCTTAGCTATAAATTGTTTTAGCAATAAGGGACTTACAGATAGCAGATATGCAAAGAGAAACTGCAAATAGTGACAAGGTAGAAGGGGTCACCCACAGCAGTCTAGGATTTAATGAACCTCTTTGTGAAAACAAGCACTTCAGCAAGTGGTGAAGTCTGAGAAATTAAAAACTCAAAGCAACACTTACAGAACAAGTCAGTCCCTCTACCAATATTGACCATAGGCACCCATGAAGGCCACATGTATTTAAATCCAGACTCCAACAATCTCCAACGTAGACCCTCTTCACAGGCCCCAAGAGGCTCAGGTGCCCCTGTAGAAACCCAGCAGCCTCTCCAAAGAGCAGTATCCCCCTTGTAACCAACCGGTGATGTTTGTGATTCAGTTCTTCAACCTGACCCAGAGAGCTTCAGAATGACTAAATATCTGTTAGCAAGACTTGTAATCTAAACTGTCTATTGAGCATATTAAAGGCCCCAGGATTCCAACCCAAATCATTACAAGTTTTAAGAGTTTTTCTTCTTTATGTGCTAGTTTTGGCTGGGATAGGGTTAATTTCCTTCACAGTAGCTGGTACGGGGCAATGGTTTGGATTTGTGCTGAAAACAGTGCTGATAACACAGGGATGTTTCAGTTACTGCTGAGCAGCACTTACACACAGTCAAGGCCTTTTCTGCTCCTTACCCCAGCAAGGAGGTTGAGGTTGCACAAGGAGACGGGAAGGGACAGAGCCAGAACAGCTAGCCCCAGCTCACCCAAGGGATATTCCAGTGGCATCATGCTCAGCACATAAAGCTGGGGGAAGAAGAAGAGGGGTATGTTCAGAGTGATGGCAGTTGTCTTCCCAAGTCGTCATTAGGTGTGATGGAGCCCTGTTTCTTGGGGATGGGAAGCAGTGAATTAATCCCTTGTTTTTACTGTGCCTGTGAATGCACAGCTTTTGCTTTACCTATTAAACTGTCTTTATCTTATCAGCCCATGAGTTTTGTCACGTTTACCCTTCCACTTCTCTCCCTCACCCCACTGTGAGAAGCGAGCAGCTGTGTGATGCTGAGCTGCAGCTGGGGTTAAACCAGGACATGAGGCCTGTCGCTACAGAGGATGATGCTCACTGAGAAAAATCAGGAAAAGGCTTTGTTCAGTGCACTCTCCACTAAATGCATTTGTTCTGACTTTTATCAGTGTTCTGAGTGTTTGACTAGCACTATATTTGATGTTTATTGTCTCATAAAATACTGTCTCCTAGTCACTCAGTTTCATTATGCAAACTAGCTTACATTAATGACACAATGGACACAATCAAGCATTTGTAAGGTCAAGTCCAAAAGAGGTAGATAATAACAATTTCTGAAATAGTATTTTCCCAGTTCCTCTAGAGACAATATTAGGACTACTTATGACCACCAGCAGAAAGTAGATTTACAGTTATCAAATATAAGTGTGAGTCTAGTCTCCACTTCCACACCCATACCATTTTAATGCATATAGCACAGATACTGCCTAAAGCTGCAGAAACCCTCCCTGACTTGAGCACCTACCAGCAACCAAAGCACAATCTCTCAACATCTGCCAATGTGCAACTGCTTGTTATTTCCTTGTACCAGTTAGATGAAATCAGTATTGATGTCACATACTGTGCTACCACAACCTATTCCATGTTGCTGTGTAGGCACAAGCATTTCAGGCAACCTATTCAGTACAGTGAATTACTTATACCTTAACTACCTATCTTAACAGGCAACAGCAATACAGTAGGCAATGATCACGGGCACTACACAGAGTGCACTGGAAGTACTGCTCAGAGTATGATTTGTTCCTAAACCAGATTTAGGATGCATACCTCTCAAGCCAAATAGTTCTAATAATAGAATATAGCAGCTTCTGGAAACATTAAAACTGCACCATTGAAGCTGTGTGAGCAAAGCCCAACGCCTCTGGGACATGCCCTGTTTTTTTACTTCATCTAATATCAACATTTTCAGGGCATCACCTTGCAAAAAAACCCTGCTTTTAAACCAGCAGAAAGAGTTCCCCTTAAAATTTAACACAGTATGAAAGTTAACAAAACCAATTACTCTCCAACATTTGGAGTCTCTGGCAGTTAAATAAATTTATTTGCATAGCAAATTTATCGGGACCTATACCATATTCTATATAATATAAATACAGAGTAGAAAGAGATCTTTCCACCCCTGTATATCCTCTTACACCTTTCTTGGCTCCCACTTGGGAACCTAGCAATCCAGTTCCCTTAACATCACCTTCTCTATTTACTTAAGGGTCATAAAAGATTATTCTATTTTCCATGTGAACTGCTAGTGCTGACAAGAATGATTTACATCACGAGAAAGGAATGAAATTGTGAGTGAAAATTAAAATACCCTTTTTTTTGCTGAAAGACAAACATCACCTAAGAAACAAACTGTTTTTTCTTTACCCAGTGACTATTCTGATGTACAAAGTTTAACATCATCAGCACATGGTAAGTAATGCAGCAAATAACTGGAATATTTACTTGCCAATTAAACACAAGTGGGTGCGTCTGTTGCTCAAGGCTGTGAATTGCTGGTACTTCAGCATCATGCCAAAGCAGGAAAATACTTCCTTGGAAAGAAGAGGATAGACTGACCTCATCTTTCAGGCTACATTTTTCTTTGAATACTATCCCATGTGCCCATTACAGCCCAACAAGGTTTTTAAGGATTATAGCATCACTGAAAGGTTAAAACAACAGAAGGCAGAAACTTTCTGCTGTAGTCTCAATGAGTATCTCAACTCTCCACTGGCGACTAATATTTAGGAATAGTTTTGAAACGACTCGGGTTCTAAAAAATTTCAACAGATACAAGAAAATGAAGAGTTATGCTATCAGCTACCAGAAATTTCTTTTTCAGGATAATCTAACATTGAATTATATATATAAAGTAATACTTACAATGCATTAAGTAAAGTGATTGGTAGCAAAAATACATGACCCTAACAGATTGTGCCACAAGATGTAAGAGGTGTTCTGGAAATTACTCTGACTCGTTTAACACTTAGAACCAAGATCCTGACAGCCACTAGTTCCTTAACAAACACCCATTTGCTGGTGAATTAATGATTATTTTTCATTCTGTATCTTCTGTCTCTTGTCCCTTCCAGATTATTGATATGCACAAATAAAACAGCTTATTTCCTTGTGCATCTCACTGCTTTCACCTCCATCATGGCACACAGTTTGCTAGCTAGCATGTAAATGCTACTGCTGAACTTGTCAAATTAGCAGGCTTCTCCAAAGAGAAACTGCAGCTCAACAGTGCTCATCTGCTGCCTGTGAGATAACTCAGGCAATCCACATGGAAGACAGCTTTAGGAGAAGGTCAGATGAAGACAATGAAAACTATCACCACCAAGACATCAAATAACTTCTAAAGATAAAATACATTGTACACTATGGAAGATAACAGTGAGGCATTTTGGTGCTTATGCAATATATCCATTTGAGGCAACAGTCTCCTGCTTTCCAGTTCCCACTGACCTTGTGACTCTCTCTGCCCCCAGACAACATATCACTCCTCACTTACTTAATAGTTTAGGTGCCTGATTCTTCATGCTTTTTGTGCCATACACTATATATTACACCAATTTGCAGACATTACTAAGTAGACAAAATTTTTATATAAAACATGTACACACTAAAATATATAACTTAAAACTGGATTTAAAAGTTTGAGACAACAGTTCTTGAGAGAATCAGGACTTGGATACTACAAACCAAAGCAGACAGCACGGACAAAATGACTGCTTTTTTGGACTTCCTGCTAAGCTTTAAGAAACATTCACTGCTTTCAGGACCATGTCAGTGTGAAAAAAACTACAGTAACAGTTGCAGAGCAGAATGTGTGTCTACCAATAGAGAATCTGGGTCAAAGCAGCAATGCTATAAAACATCACCCACATTATCTTGTGCCAGGAGAAACACTGAAAAGAGAACAGCCTAGAAAGCATCTGTCAGGCCAAAAATATCCTAGAGTTGTATTATTCAAAAAATATTTGCTCTTGGACATTATCCTTTGGCTCCTCTAAACCTAATTAAGGAGAAATTTATAAGTAGCCTCGTTTTTTCCTGTTTAATTACCACTGCCCTAATACAAATGAGATACATAATAATGGCAGAGCAAATACAGGCTAATGATTTATTAAATATTTCAACATCTTACCCTGAAAAGGTTACCCAGAAAAATCACTGTTATGCTAAATTTAGATTTACTTAAAAACTAGAAAGGTTGAAATACAAAAGTAATCCTTATCAGAAAAGGACCCACTTGCTTTATTCATCTGATGCCACTTCAGCAGTATCAAGTTTTATTAAAATATAACTGCAAACTGCACATAAGATGTTATAGAATTGAAAAATACATATAGTTACCAAACTATGAAGGACAACGTCAATCTTGAATGAACTCTAGGGTTATTATACAACTAAATCCACTGAAATCTGAAAATGATCCATCCTCCTATGCAGCGTGTGTCATGCTTTATGGAAGATTATTTGTCACATGTAAAAGCCTCCAGACATATTATCCTCTCTCTAGCAACTGAACTATGTCTCAGTGCAAAATTTCATAGTCTTAAAAAGGGGAAGAAAAAAAAAAAAACTACCTAAAAGGCAACAATAGAACCATCAGGTTTCCGGTCTCCTTAGCTACCGGTGTGAGCAATGAACACAGTGCATCATCTATGAAGTTCACCACAGATGCAGATTTTACACTTAATCTTATTAGGGCAGTCAAGATTTGCAAGCAGCCACTAATGAGATTTGTAATGGAGTCTAAAGTCCACACCAATTTTGTTCATAATATCATTAATCCACATGCTATATGGATATAGATATGAGTAGTTTATCCAGACACCATACAAACATAAGCAGATAAATAGAAGTGAAATCTATATTAAAACAGGCATTTAAATAACTACAACAGATTCTTGCAAATAAGTCAACTGACACAAAAATGAACAGCACGTAGGCATATAATCATATATACATACACACAGCTCTAATATACACACATAACAGCTGTTAAAGACAGTCCTTAGAAATATTTCATATGGCTCAGACTAAGGTTAACTTTTCTGACATTAACTCTCAGTATAGTAAGAATCTTTCTAGAGACACCAACAGGTTGAGTTTTTGTCCAAGAGGTGGGAGTTTTATAGCAGATTTGAAAGCTTGCACGGGAAAAAAACCTGCTGGGCCTAATCTTGGGGGAGCTGGGTGACAGCCACCAACAATATTCGACATTTTCCATACCTGAGGAATCTTACATTTACATATAGTCTGAAAAGCCTGAAACTGAATTTTGACCACAGGCTACAATGCTAACCGATGAAGGCGTCTTTCAAAGCCATGACGTTTTCCCTCCATTTAAAGGCTAGGATGGAATTGATCCTTAGAATACAGCAGTGTTACCTTTCCACATTGATTTATCAACATGAAAAAGTCCAAGATACTGGCTTTTGATATTGGATCAAATCCAAGATACTGGATCAGTATCTGGCTCCAAGGTAGTGACCTATGTAGGAATCTACAGCCTGGTAACATGAATTTTAAAAGAGCAAATAAAACATAGGCCTAACTGTCCAAAGAAAATATTTTAGGAATAAATATTAAATAAATAAATAAATAAATAAGGAGGAGGAGAAGTACAGCAGACTCACCAGGCGTGTATTAACAACTGGAAACAGCAATGCCAAGAGGGCCCCATTCAGCATATGCATCTGCAACCTTAGAAGAGAGATGTAGTGTTATTCTCACAGACAGAAACACATCTTCACATATTTTATGTAGTGTCTCTTTAATAAAAGGTAGCAAGAGATTTAAGAAAATTCATAAAAAAACCTTTTTGCTTGAATTTGAATTAAGGCACTATGAAATACAACAACCAGGACAAAAACCTCTCTTCAAATACACAAATAACTTCCTGAAGTAGGACTGCTTTCTGTAATGAGCTTTGGATCCCTAGAAAGCCTGGACTGCTCATTTGTGTTAATCCTGTTCATGACGGAAGCTGCTAAATAGTTGAAATTTTGCTGTTCATTTGTCTTTCAGAGCTTAAGATAGCATGTTTGATAAAGGTTTTTACTCCTGTCTAACTCTTTAAATGTTCAGCTTCAAAGTAAGCCTGAATTCTTCAGGAATTTGGAAAAAGTCCCTTAGACAAAAGAAGAATTGTATTTGTCAAAACTTAACAGCAAGTTCTAAGCAAAGAATAAGGCAGGAAAGTAGTATTATAATACTGTATTTTGTATAGCTTCCAGCCATCTCCTTCGGCACCATGGTTGCATCACAAGAACACAAAAACAGTGTCAGTTCTAGTTCAATCTACTTTACATAAGACACAAAGTAAAGAATAAACTGTTTACAACCACTGCCTGTCATAAACTCTTAGGAATTTAAAAGTAACTTGAGGGGGGGAAAAGGTATTACAATTTCAAAATAGTTTTTCCAAATCTAATTTACATGCTGTCAGGGTGTTAGAAAACAGAAAAGCTCATTCTGAAAAATAACAAATATTTAGGCCTTCACTCTGCAACTGGTCTTTTGCAAATGCACATAGTAAATCCAGGATTCCCTGGATACCAGATGTACTTTTCACCCTCTCCAAGATGGAGACACTAACACAGGATCTCTGGATTCAGCCTACTCCGTGCCCAAATGGGGAACAGCAGGACAAAGTTGCAGAGAGATAGCAGCAATTCCAAAATAATTCATGAGGCATAACCCCATCATCATTTTTCCAGTCACTGCCTAGACTAACACAAGAAAGAGCTGTCACGGTGGCAACTACAGCCATTCCTGTGTGTCTCCCCACAATATGACCAGTTATACTTCTCAGCTGCTTACTGAACTCTACTGTGGCAGCCCATTAGAGCTTCCTGCACATTAGGAATTCTTGTGTTTCCTGAAGTTAGTAACAATATGCAATATTTTAGGAAAGATTGCATAGATTTAGGAAACAGACAAGTCAGCAGGAATCTGCTTCCACTATTTAACTTAAATCCACAGCGTTAAAACTAGATCCTTCCTGTATGCATGGCCCTGTCCAGTTATTAATTTTTAGTGAGGAAAATAAAGAGGTACAAGGCCCATGACATAAATTACGCAAACCCATAGGTTAATCTGCAGAAGACTCCTGCATTCTTATCTGTCACTGAGATAATCCAAGTGGCTAAGCAAGGCCAAAACCACGGTACAAAAGAACCCAGGGTATGTGGCTCAACACCCATGATTTAAGCCCTGACGATTTTCAAGGTGTCATTTTTCATTCCAACCAATATGCCTTTCCAAACAGATATATATCTTAATATTTTATGACTTAAGCTAAGTCATAAGTAGATAGAAAGTCATAAGTCATAAGTAGATAGAAATTTAGTAAGGAAGAGGCATTACCTGAAGAGAATCATTGCAACCCGGCATGGGGGACAGGCAAGAAGAAAAATCTGAAATGGTAGAAACAAATTTAAATTAATGATATAGACTCAATTTTTTATATCTTTCCTTCCTAGTTCTGTAGGTCACAAATCATTTCTAAGCAGAACTATGTAAAAGAAGAGCTAGAAGAGACTAAAATTCTTCAACAAATCAAAAGGTCTCACATTATCTACATATAAAAGGATTCAAGCAGTATGAGTAGCACCTAGTCGGTGCCTAAGAAACAAGTGAAATTCTAGCCTGTTTGATGTTGTCATTACAAAAGGTCTCTTACAAAGCACTTTACTGTATTACCAATCATCTTACTACAGCAGCTCCCTTAGCCCTGTATCATGATAATGCCCCTGCTGTGCTGAAGACCAGTCATTTACAATGACAGTACTTCCCCCTCAGCAGTGTAGGACCCAGCTCTTGAAGACTTCATGCTAGATGGCTGCGTAGAGAAGCCTTTTCATGCTTCCCGAAATAAGGCTACCTCATTATCTGCTCTATAAGCTTAGCAGTCATCTTTAAATATGTTCACTTCCATACTCAATACAGTATGTTAAAGTACCGTAACATTTTCACCAGTTATTAGCTGTTTCACAAGACCAAAAATAACAGAGTACAACTGGATCAGCATGTTTATTTTACAAGCCATACTACTACCACAAATAGGACTTGATTTCAATTTTCATGTGATAAAGTATGGTTGATCTGCAAAAATGCCCCACCTAAATTTAGATAACCATACTCTTTTGATACTGCTGTACAAAACCTCTCACAGCAACTTGAAATACTTCCTATCAGCAAGCTTTACTCTAGATATGAAGAGATTACTACCTAAGTGCTCAGTGATAAAACTCATACCTTTTATACTGCCCACTACTGCAAAGAAGAGACTTTGGCCTACTGTCTGATAAGCATTTATTTTATAAGAAATAAATGAATCACACTTTTTACTGCTGTTGCTAAAACAAATTCACAATACATTTCACTGCCAACCTACAAAACAGATTTGTAGTGATCTTTAAATCAGTTCAAGTGAGAGCATTTGGAGAATGTCTGCTTTACGGACAAGCCAGATTAAACAATTCATCCAACATGTTTGTTTGAAGCGCTGCAAGGCTGGGAAGAGGCTTCTGATGTATATTCAATTTAATTACTCCCAGATCATGTACTTGCTGCAGCAACAGTAGAAATGTTGAAGTCTGGATCATATCACTGAGCCCTTGTGTATAAAAGGGGTTGCTGCTTCTACCATACGAACACACACACACATTCAAAATGTCTTATTTCCAATGCAAGCTGTTAATATACAACCATTTATTTCTCTGATTCACTTACTTGTATGTTTAATTCAAGTCAGCCTCAATAACAGTTTAGAATACACACACATACAAATTGTTTTTCCTAAGTCATACAGAATTCTAATAAAAGCACAGCAGGAAAGAGGCAGCAATTAAAACTGACTGAATGTACCCCTCAAGACATTTCCTTAGTGAATATTGTTAAAATCCAGAGTTTCTCATAAGTCTGGAATTTAAAAGGCAAGCAATTTTAACTCATCAGAGCAGGTTAAAGAGAAAGAAAACATAACAAACACCTGATGACAAGCTACTAATGGATGCTTTTTTGTACTAAGAAGTATATGCCAGAACATTCTTCCGAGTGGTCTACACGTCACCTTGCACATAAGACATATATATGTATGGCTTCTAGGAAAAGCGTCTAACACTCACTATGCTTCACTATTCCATCACTGCATATTCTGCAGTAAACTTTGTTTACTAACTGAAGTTCCTTGAATTGTGGACTATATTTCTCCTTCTTTGGGCACCATAAATGTCTTCTACAGGTCTTTTACAATAACTATTTTTTCCCATGCTACTTATATGCATTAGTGTAACTTTTTAACACATGTTGTATGTTAGCAAAAGAAGATGCAATATTTAGAGTCTCACTAGTTCATGCAGAGCTTTAAATTAAAATTATTTTATGAGTTCCTTAAATTCAGAAACCTGTTTCTTCTGAAGCACAATTCATACCTTCTGCTCTCCCAGTATGATTTTTTTTTCATTTCCGACATCTTAAAGCAGATCAACCTTTTTCTCTATATGCATAAAATAATCAAACCAGAAATGTGACTTAATCACACCAGTTATTGGTTTTTCTGACACAGTGAAAAGTGCTTCAAGTACCACATGGTAGAGCAAAAACTACAACACAAGTCTGTATACTGTCTGAATCTCAGCACTAAGGTTAAAAAATAGCTAGTATTAAAAAAGGATGGTATTGTTACAACAACTGACATGCCAATTCTTCACTACCATGGAGACAGGCAAAGAAGAGAACCAGATTCACAGCTGTGTATTTCTATGTCAATTCTACTGCAAGAAACACAGTTTCAGGACTGATGAGGGAAAAACAAATATTTAATGTTTTATGCAATTAAGTCCCTCTTTTATGAGGGACCTTTCAGAATATAAGCCTGACTTCCACTTCTTACGACGGCAGAGAAATCGTAACCAGAATGTTTATGTTAAAACTCCAGGATAATGGAAGAGATTTTCATACGTTTCAGCTTTAGCAGTTTAATATCAAGCACTTTCTCTCTAAATATGCATATACTTTCTGTGATAAATAAACCTCAGCCTCTTAAAGGGGTTATTTTACAAGACACCCCCTGTATCTGATTTTCAAAGGACTGTATCACTGACTCAACCATTATAAAAAGGGTCATCATTCAGCTCAGAGTAATGAAAAACTCCTAAAATATCTAGTTCACAGCAGACAAGCTCACAAGCTCCAACACAAACGGTCACATAATCCTATTACATTTCACTCATACTGGAAATAAAATCCTTTGCCCTGCAGGAGGAAACAGTTATGTTTTGTAAACCAAACAATGTCATATTAAATTAGCAGCATGGCTGTGAACAGTTCCCAGCCTCTGTTTTCCTGCCAGAACTCTCAAGGTTTTACGCACTCAGGCTAGCACAGACGTGAGCCCCCTTCGCCAGCACGTTGCAGAGTTCTAGTGTAAACAGGACAACATGTATTTTAAAACACACTTAAGTAGCTTCTCCTTGCTCAAGGCAGAGTAATGGAACTTGCAATTTAGAAGAAACACTAAGAAACAATTTTGGTGTCCCTCCTTACTCTGTCAGATCTGTTACCTGTTACATTTTCACATTAAAAATGAAAAGGACAGAAGAATTAACCAGAAATCCAAAATGTACAGACAGTATTTCCAGAGGGAAAAATAAGCTGTAAGATATTCACTGTCTGACAGGCTGAATTCTGGGCACAGTTACAGAATCATAGAATAGTTAGGGCTGGAAAGGACCTTAAGATCATCTAGCTCCAACCCCCCTGCCATGGGCAGGGACACCTCACACTAAACCATGACACCCAAGGCTCTGTCCAGCCTGGCCTTGAACACCGCCAGTTGTGATCATTCCCTCCCACTTTAACCTCTCAATCTCAAAAAAAAAAAAAAAAAAAAAAGGGCAATTTAGGAAAGGGTTACAGAGGTCAACAAGAATGATCAATAAGTACAGAACATCTTCCATATATGGATTTAACACATTAAGACTCTTCAGCCTGTAAAAGACTATAGGCTAATGCAAGTGAGTGTACAAACTCACACATGGCCTCAAGGAAACGTATCAGTACCAAGTCCTAGGCAGGGATGACACTGTGAATCAGGCTGTGTGAGTCTCTTCCACCAGCACAGGACCAGAAGATTTTACAATTGTTCTCAGGCAACAAATCTGAAAGAAACTCCTAACACTAGTCAACCTGCAAACTAAAGTTCACTTAACATTGAGGATCCAGATGAAAACGTAAGTCAGAAATTCTGACAATATACTTCATAATTACAAGACCATAAATAACAATGTCCATTCCCATGGGAAATACTGCTGGCATAAAGAACTGTACAGTCAGCACTATCCTGCATAAACCCAAATACAAAGGTCACACCACAACACATGATGGGTCAGCAGGGATGTTACAGCTTGAAGACTGCAATGTACAGGATTGCACTACTTAACCATTCCTTCACCGAGACAAAAATCTTAGAGACTGAATTTAGGGTTGCTCTGAACTCGCCCATGACTGGGCTGCCCAACAGTCTCTTACAAGTTCTCTTCTTCTAACCATGCACTAACAAAAAGAGAATGCTCCAAATGATCTCTCTATGTCTGGGACAGCAATAGTGTCTCTGACCTGAAGTAAAATACCTCTTCAAATATCTAAGCCTGGTACCATTCTATTCATTAAATGTTACTGCCTCACTCCATGACCACTCTGAACTGGGAGAGACCACTCATTTTTAGGTTGGTTTGGGCATTTTTTGTCCTGTGAGTTGGCTGAATCCCCAGGGTCTATTGATTCCAAAACCTCTCAAATTCCTCCAAAATAATATACTTAACAGCTCCCTTCAGAAGTATTTTAATGACGCTATTTTTACAGTGAGGCAGAGCACAGTCAAAACTTGTCATGAAAGGCTTTTCTCCTACCAGTTTTAGTCCTGCTGAGACAGAAACAAGCATAACACAAAGATCATCTTGTTTGATCAGAAACAAACTAAAGAGACAAAATGAGACAATTCAAAGGGTAGCAGGGGAAGAAAAGAACAAGTCACACAACTCTTAACCGTTCCATATTTAACATCACACGAAGTACCACTTACAATATCAATGGGAATGCTTACCGATGCCTTACAAGTACACTTGTTTCTGGCAGAAGACAGCTAAACTGCAAGTAAAACCAGTGCATCTCACACAGCAGCACAGATTTCATTTACCTTCCAAAAGAACAGCTTGTCTGTCCCTGAGCTGCCTGCTTGATTTAGTTACCGTGTTGCAGCAGACTGGAAACGTATCTTTCTTTTCAAAGATTGCAGGTCATAAATTGGTTTAATGCACTATTCCAAAATGAAAACTTCAAGAAGTTAGATTTTCATTTCTTCTGAAATAAAAATTTCCACTCACTCTTAGGTGTATCAAAGTACCCTTCGGAG